ATACTAAGCAAATTGATGATATGCACCCATACTTGATCTCTACAAGTAGACGTTGTAAAAAAAGACTATCATAATTATTTTAGAGATGGTAAATGAAAGCATTCTAAAAATTCTTTGATTTTTTTAAAGAGAAAAAAAATCTTTATATGTCATAAGCTAATGTGATTAAAAGAAAGATGAATGCAAATAAAGATTGCTTTACTGATTAATGATACAAGCAACTTAAATTCTTAAGTGAGAAAAGGTCTTCATATCCTTGCCAAGAAGATGAACACTTACATTCATTTTTTAGTTGGTAAACAATATAAAGTTGTATTTAAAATACCACCTTCACATGTTCTTGATTTGATTCATACCGATATATAATTTATGACTGATAAGTCTCTTATAGGTAATTTATTATTTATTAGTTTTATTAATGATTATTTTTTTAAAGATTTGAGCCACTTGTTTTAAATTCAAAAATTAGGTGTTTGATGTATTTAAGGATTTTCTTGCTAAAGCTAAAAGGAAAACCGGTAGAAAGTTAAAATTTGTTTAAATTGATAATGGTGGTGAATACAAGAATCTTTTTTAAGAAGTACTATATGGAACATGATATTAAGGTTCAAAAAATAGTTTAAAAAATTAATAATAAAATAAAATGGTTGAAAGAATATATAACAATTATTGAAATAATTAGATATATGATCTCTTATATAAAATTGCCTAAATCTATTTCAGGTAAAACAATAAAGATTATAATTGCCATGATCAACCTTTCCCTATCAGTTTCTTTTAAATTTGATGTTTTAGAGAGAGTGTAGAAAGAAAAACATGTTTCTTATATATACTTAAAAGTGTTTAGTTTCAAGGAATTTGTTTATATTTTTAAAGATGAAAGGTCTAAACTTGACAACAAGATTTTTGTTTATATTTTTAGAGATGAAAGGTCTAAACTTGACAACAAGATAAAATAATGTGTTTTCTTGGTTTTTAAAGAAGACGAGTTTGGATATAGGTTATGAGATATAAAAGAGAAGAAATTTGTTATAAGTAAAGATGTTCTCTTTGATATCAAAACATTGATGATTTTGAATAAAAAAAGAAAATAAAGTCTACTAATTTTATTCCTTCTAATTCTTATCCAAGACCTACTATACAATTTCCTTTGATAATTTTTAATTATTAAATAGATTTTCAAAATGATGATAATTATGGTTTTCCTTTTAAACTATTAATTAATGATCCTAAGCCAGCTAATAATGATGATGATATTGTTATTTCTAAATAGGTTATTCAAAAAGCTCTAGATGAACTATAATTAAAAAAGTCTACTATAACGGTGCAGTGTCGTGATGATTATCCACCATCCATGAAAAGATGGGATGTGGTGTATTTCTAGCAAGATATGAAGAGATATGGAATTTTAGTCTTTTATCAGTGGAAAATTTGAATGGGAGTCGCCACCTAGTATTCTGGTAACTAGGAACCCTAACTGGTCTCAGAGATCGGGTATGGAGACTGGTTGCGTAAAGAGAAGGTATTAACACCCCAAATACGCCCTACCTAAGATAGGCTATATTGTGGTTTGATCTCCTTCTCTCTCTTTTTTTCTCCCTCTTTTTTTTTTTGTTGTTGTTGCCTCCCCTGTTTTTATAGGAATTTATTTATTTCTACTCTCTCCCTGTGCTTCCAACACGTGGAAAGTGAGTTGTGTCGGGGTGTGTTTTTTGGGGTG